AAACCCTAAACCCTAAAAACCCGAACAGCTTCAAGAGAGGCTCCCCAGCTGAGGAGCGCGCTCGAGCTGTGATGAGTGAAGCTGCCCGGCTTGCTTCAGAACTTCGGCCTGCCCCGAATCGCCAAAGAGTTTAGGGCTTAGGGTTTACATAGGGTTTAGGGTTTACATAGGGTTTAGGGTTTAGGGTTTAGCTAGGTTAGGGTTTAGGGTTTAGGGTTTAGGGGCCAAAGAGTTTTTTTTTTTAAAGTGCAATGCGCCCCTTTTCGTGTCAGCCGGCAGGGCACTCCCCGTAGGGGTGCACTAAAGAAAAGTGCAACTTGAGGGTTCTGCAACAAAACCCAGAGCAGCAACAGAAAAGCCACCAAAGACAGCTATGAACCTCATTGTGACAGGGCATCCGACTCATCACCAGCCTCCATCACATCACCAGCCACAGGCAGCTCAGTAACCGACCACGTGGACAAGAACAAAGCGCCACCACCAGGAGGTTGTAGAGCAAGTACTCCCAGAGCGTCAACGTGAGTGTCCACCGAGGCAGCAAGGTCAAGGTTCACACCTTCCTGAAGAGGAGCACCACGTTCCTGGTCAAGTTCTGGTAGTTCTTCGTCACGTAGCCAATCGTCATCTCCCAACGCACTGTAGCCAACCATCGTAGTTGGTGGAGACTGGGGAGAGTGCGACCACGACGAGACAGACATTCCTGCACAGCCAGAGAAACTCGAGGCGCTGGACGTCGGCGAAGAGGGCAGCGAGAAAGTGCCATCCTCAGAAGAGTCAAAGGCACCGCCAGCGACCACGGCTCGAATAGCTCGAGGGAGCCGCAGTTCCTCAAGCGCTCGCGCCGTCGCAGGGCAGTCGCTTTGTGGCAAGGAGGACCCAGAACCAGGCAAGGCCGACGAGGTCAAAGTGCAGCACGCTGTCGGCGTCAGTGCGGTAGTCCCGAACGAGGCCAAAGTACAGCACGATGTCGAAGTCGGCGGCAAAGCGCAGGACGAAGGTAAAGCACTGGTGGTAGGCAAGGAAGAGCAAGTCACCCCCGAGGTGGTCAAGAGGGCGGCCAACGTCGTCCCATTCTGTGAACCAGGAGGCTGCCAAGAGGAGGACACAGGCAAGACCGACGAGGGCAAAGTGCAGTACGGCGTCAGCGTCAGCGTGGTACTCCCGAACAAAGCCAAAGCACAGCAGGGTGTCGAAGTCGAAGTCGGCGTCAAAGTGCTGGGCGTCGAAGTCGGCGTCAAAGCGCAGGGCGAAGGTGGAGCACAGGCGGGATGCAAGGAAGAGCAAGTCGCCCCCAAGGCGGCCAACGAAGTGGTCAACGTCGTCCCGTTCTGTGAACCAGGGGGCAGCCCGAAGGAGGACTCCAGTCTCAGACTTGACGTTGTCATCGTCGTGAATGTTCCGTCATCATCATCCCCATTGTCATCCTCCTCCACAAAGTCCACCATGACATCCTGGTCGTACCGGTCAGTGGCCGCCGTGCGCCTCCGTCTATACCACTCACCTGGAACACGTCGTCGAGGAAAGAGTCGGCTGGACGAGGACGGCGGGACAGGACGAAGAGGGCCACGGGGCGGTGAACGGAGAGAAGGTGGGGATCTGCTACGGTTCGGAGCAGTCGGCGGTGGCAGCGGTATCCAAGACTGAGAGGAGGGCCCGGGCAGCGTGGCGCCAGGAGGGAGGTTACGAAGAGGTTGCACGGGCCGAGCCTGGTACAGGAACATGTCTCCGCCATACCCTGAGGGTCGGCGGTGCTGTGGCGGAGCTGGGTCATTCCTGGAAATCGCATCCATTTGTAGCCTCTCCGCATGTCTCCTCCAAACACGGCGACGAAGACCAGCGACCACCCAGCCGGGGACTTGCGGAAAAGCCCACCCCAAGTCATCCTCACGAGGAAGGTTGGGCCTCAGGTAAAGAAGGTATTCACCTTCCCCTATGGGCAGCACATCGGGGTCCTGGCCATTCATTGCCTGCTGCACCCCATGCCATATGCGCCGCTCCATGACCCCAGCATTGAACGCAACTTCGTTGATATCCGCGGGCCACCATTTGAGACATTCCTCCAACGCGACAGACAAATATCGTTCGTCGCCTCCCCGGCGTTTCTGTAACAGTGCCAAAGTTACTGAGCGCATGTCCGCGGCGGAGCCCTTGGCCATCATGGAGTTTACCAACTGTCGTACTCGTTGCTCAAGCGGATCCCGAGGCGGAGCTCGGCGACGTTGTTCAGAAGGCGGGTGTCGTCGTCGTCGTGGAGTTGCGGGATCACGACGGCGTCGAGGTAGAGCTGCAGGTAGCCGATGAGGTCGTTGAACCAGAGCCGTAACGTCACCCCCATCTCCAATTTCTACTCCAGGTCCATGGTCACCGAACTCACCCCCTTCCACAGCCAGGAGAGCATGTTGTCCATTCACATTGTCACCCCCGTCGGGTGCATCCAGTGTCGGTCGACTGTCTCCAGATGCACCTTGTCCAGTAGCAGAAGGAGCTCGGTGACGACGCGTGGACGAAGAAGAGGTCGACGAAGAAGAGCTCGAAGGGGAAGCCGGCAGGGTCGACGAAGGAGGCGGACTTCGGGAACGGCTGGCACAAGAGTTCACCCCACCTGAGCGCCTGGGCGCTCGTGTCACTGTCAGCGGCGGAGAGCGGGCAGGCGAGCGTGCAGGTGGGGATGGCGAACTGGACCGACTATCCATCGGCGGCGGCTCCTGTTGTACCACTGTCGGAACATGGCGGCGTGCACAATTGTGGTGGAGGTAGCGAGCTTCCATTTCATGGATGCGCGGCGTGAGTTGCTCCACCCAGGCCAGTAGACGAGCACGGTGCGGTCGTTGCTGAGGAGGTCGGATTATGGGAAAATGTTCGCCAGGTTGGAGACGAGCAGCAAGTACCCGAAGAACTCGGTCGGCACGTTCACGAGCAAGGCGAACTTCCTCTAGCCAGCACTGCAGGGCCCATCTTCCTTCGGCCCCCTGTTCACGTGTTTGCATGTTCCTAAGTTCCTCCAGGAAACCTTGCACTGCGTGGACCTCCTCAGGGCTTGCGCCCGCCTGAGCAAGCTCATCACATTCAGCTCGTGAGAGCTCCATGAGACTCGAGACATCATCATCTGGCGGGGGAGGGGCCGGGACCAAAGGAGGGCGGCCAGCTGCGGCTCGGTCACGCAAGGCTTTTGCCTCCGCATACTGTCTAAGCCATGCAGGTTTCCACCGCCCAGCAAAATACTCTTGCTGTCGTTGTTGACGGCGGGCAACACGTGAGGGACCAGACCCACCCTGGTGCTGGCGAAGCTCCTGCGGGGTGCGTGGTCTGTCATGATATACTCCATGATGCCAAAAACCCACCCCTGAAGAAGAAGAACTCGCCCCAGTGCTAGAAGACGTGTTGTCGCCCGAAGCCATGGAGAGGTCAGAGTTGGAGCACTGAACCAAGAAGTTGCCCGGAGCTGTAGTGGTAGGCGGATCTGGACACGACTCTTGACAGGGCACGGTCTGGTCATTCTCCTCAATGGTCTGCAGCTGAGCCTCCGCCTGGAGTCTTTCACGTCGGCGGTTGCGCACCGAGCCATTGAGGTGGTGCCAGCGGTCACACCCCGGGCGCCAGCATTCGAAGCGTTGGGTCCAACCTTCGCCATCAGACTCTTCAGGAGGAGCAGAGGTGGCCATTACACAGTGGGCCGGTTGACTTGTGCCGAGATAGGTGAGATACTAAGTCA